GACCTATATGACATCATCAGATCTCGTTCCGTATGTGTAGGCTTTAATGAAATATATATTACGATAGACCAAAGTACAGGATGAAGAAAGCAGTCTTCTGGGATTTGGCACCGTGTATAAGTGGTGTTAACCGACGTTTCTGAGGAACGTATCGCCTCCATCTTCAGGGTGATGGAGGCGATACGTTCCTCCGAAACGTCGGTTAACACCACATATACACGGTGCCAAAGCACAGAAGACTGCTTTCTTCAAATTGGTTTATAGTTCGTGATTTTTATAAGATGGCACACATTTTTATTTATATAGATTTGCAGGTTGGCAGTGACCCTTTAGTAGTTGGGCCCTCCTAGCCAAGATACTGTTGTGTTAGAGACCTAGCCTGGTTCAGTGAGACATTTTAAGATATGCAGAAGTTTCCATTTTATTGACATCCAGATGTTGAGATACAATCATGTATGTATGTTTTAATGCTTATTTTTTAAGAACTATGCTTATCATTTCAGAACTGGAAGATAACTGTTAAAAGTTTTAATGACTGATTTTGCAAGATCTCAAGGATCCAAGTCCTCTAATGAAAGGACTCCTGAGGAGGCTACATCATGGAATCAAATGAGGCAGCAACTAGTAGAAGAGAAACAGAAGGTACACAAGACAACCAAAAGTGAAACAGCAAAGGAAATGAAGAGGTATAAGCAGGGGCGGCCCGCATATAGGCAGTGCGGAACTGCAGCACCCCAATTTCCACATGATATTATCGATAACATTTATATAATGAGTCCTTTTTTCTTTAATTTTTTCTTCATACTTGTACAATACAATATATAATCCTTAAGCTTAATGTCAGTAGCCAAATCTTTGTTTGGAACTGTGTGCTTCTGGAGCAGCACCCCCACTAATTTTAGCTACGAGCCGCCACTGGGTATAAGACATTTGATGTTAATGATACTGAAAATTGTAAATGGACTATGTTTGAAGAACCTGGAAACAAATTTGATCATGATAGTAGTGATATGAAGAAAAAGAAGCACAAGAAATTTGTTTCTGTAATGCCTGATAGAGGCATTTCTGAACTAGATAAACATGATTCCAGAAAAACCAGTAAATTACACACAGTTGCAAATAAAAATGCCAGAGTTCAAAAGAAAGAAGCTGTTAAAGTGTATTCCAAAAAAATGAAGAAAATATTTGATGAAGTACATACTTCTTATAATGAAAATGTGATTGAAAAATCAGGAAGTCATATTCAAACAAGAAAACCAAAAATGAGAGGAAAGAAGAAAAGACAGGGTTCAGTAACAACTTTAGTCAATGAGAAAAGTATTAAGGACCCGAAAATTGAAGATTTAAATGAAAAATGTGAAATCATGAAGAGTATGAAGCTCATATCACAGAAGATAAAATAGGAGAACAAACAAAAAATTAAACAACCTCATGCAGAGTCACCACTTCAGGGAACTGAAAGAAAAAATGCTAATAGGATAGACATATTTCAACACAATCAGAATGAAAATCCTAAGATGAAATTTGACTGTGGAAGAACTGGAAGCAAATCTAAAAAACTGAGGAAGTCAAGAACACCTTTGTCCAGATGTTTATAAATGGTAAAGAAATGAAGGTTATGAAATTTGATGGATTCCCAGTTAAGAAAAAAGATGCAGAATATTTTGAAGAGTTACATCAAAAGTTACTAGGGGAGGGAATCCCAAAAACAGAAGTTGTTGCCATCATGAAGCGGGAGCGCCATAAAGCAGAAAAGGCACTGGCCAGAGAGAGAAAGAAAGTTTGTTTTCATTGTCAAAATTCTGGTCACATATTGTCAGTGTCCAGAACTTGGTAGCTCAAGTGAATCAGGAACGGGGATCTGTTTCAAATGTGGATCAACAGAGCATACTCACTTCCAATGCCAGGTCATTCGTAGTCAGGACTTTCGATTCGCTGAATGCTTTGTGTGTAAGGAGCAAGGTCATATTGCCCGGCAATGCCCTGATAATCCACGTGGCCTGTATCCCAAAGGTGGAGCTTGCAAAGTTTGTGGGGATGTTACCCATCTAAAAAGGGACTGTCCTCATCTCATTAAAGAAAAAGAACAACAAACAGTAACTTTAGGAACACTTGATAATAACTCTTTAGATATTCTAGAAGAGGAACTGAAGGAAATTAAAACTAAAATTCTGGACTATATCCATCGTCCCAGTCAGTTGAACCACGACGTTTCGGAAGCTGGATCTGCTACCGTCCTCAGGTAAGTAAAATGGAGGTAAAAAAGGGGAAAAAATGGGAAANGCAAAGGAGCAAACTGAAGGAAGCATGTCATTCTCCAGAAAAGAATTTTATGAAACATAAAGCAGTTGTAAAATTTTAGGAAACAACTTCCTAGTACAAGATTCAAATTTCTCAGTTATGAATTTGAAGATTACTGTCTTCTAAGATGTGATGATATGTAGGCTGCTAGGTTGACACCAGAAAAGGTAACTGTTTACCAGATCACATGATGTCATACTCCAGAACTTTAAAAATGCTGTAATTAAGAACTTAGAAAAAAATACATCATTGAAGGTTGCAGTGCAACCTACTCTTTGCCTACTCCTTATGCATTTATTCAAGAACTTAGACACACACAAAAATGTGTTAATTATGCTTGTATGGTTACATGCATTCCCAGTTACATTTTACATTGAACTATAGTGTAGCACCATGTTGCAAAGGTGTACCAGTTCTGAGACTTGTTTTTGATTAGTGTGAATTTATTACATTCCTTGCATAAATATGTTATCAGAATATGGCTTTGCTAAGGTGAATTGCAGTCCTTCAGGTATCTTTGACAGAGGTTATTTGCAAGATGACCTGATGCACAGCCATTATGCTATGCTCAAATACTATGTTGATGCCACATTTCCTGTCTGGTCAGCTGTGGTCATAATGACAGTGTATGTACCTATGTTGTAGGAGATATGAGAATGTTCCACCACTGAGTTGGCTGATACATTCTCAGTGCCAGCTGTGACTCACATGCTGTAGTTGTGTGGATAAGTGGAACACTTGAAACAAGCCATATGCTTTCCATGAATTCCTCCATATGTGGATCAATTTGATACTCTTTTTTTTTAGTATCTTCACAAAAAGAAACTATACTAACACTGGGAGATCAAAGTGATCATAACCATGACTTACATTCTGTTCAAGGCCTATCAGAATTGTTACTGTATAATACAGCCAGTTAACCTACTTCTACTCAAGATGGATCAGTCACCAGAGGTTTGCACCATGGAATGGAATTTGTGTGTTCATGTGTCCAAATTAGTCCAAGCATCATCAAAGGATATCAATTAGGGACCAAGTCCTCTGTCACGAACTGATGATAACAGCTGCAGAATACACAGCTGTCATTTTCTAAGGCCATAGTTTCTCGTGCAGTGTTATTAAGAGACTTGCAATGTGAACATTCAAGCAGAGCTCTGGCTTGATCCAGCTTCATTTTAATAGTGTTGATGTTTTGGTTCCTGTTTATTAACATGCCAGTTTGTACTTTATTGGCAAGATCATGAAGTGCTTCTGCAGTGGACTTGAGCCCCAGGAATCTTTCATGTAACATCCCTCTCTCTCTTCCTAATGGAGTTATGCTTCACACAAGTCATAAGAAATAACTGATACTGAAGTATAGACTTATCCTAGACAAAGGAAATCCACTCATATCTCTCTGTTGCTGGCTCAGCGGGGTAGGAAGAAAATAATGCAGTGACTATGTACTGGAAAAGCTGTGCTTTAGCTTAGCTTGCACGTATTATGCCTGTATATGGCATATTCTTTGCTAAACACTATATCTCATTCTCAAACAAGAAACATATTAAAAACATGATTGTGCTGTGAAAGACCTCACATTAGCCTGCTGTGAAACCTTCAATGCAAACAGGAAGCCAGATACAAGAAATAGTACATGATAAAAGCTAATGTAATACTTGCATGGCTGCAAAACTAAACTATCTCAGAAATGGGTTTAGCTAACAGGGCAAACATGTGAACCATAATGGATTGGAAGATAACACTGTACTTCCCTTACTTTTAGCAAATAGGGGAGATATTCACTGTTATTATGAGCAAGTGATGGTAATGCCAGTATTTACTAAACCACACATTACAATTATTAGTAACCTAGTTTACACATTAAGTTACAGATGCAAAATAATCACTTCTTTTAAACTGGCTTACCAACTTCAGAATCCAGGAAGCTGTAAAAAAAAAAAAGTAAAAGTAAAGATATCCCTGTACCAGGCCGTTAAGGCCCATAGGGTTGTAAGACATTGAGAGTCCCACATTATCTAGACAATCGGCTCAAAGATGGCAGTAAGGTTGTCAGCCTTATGCACAAGCTGCGCTTTACTCCCCAGGAAAAGTATTTAATTAATTCCTGGTACTCATTTCTGTTAGAGGCTGAGTCGACCCCAGGGCCATAGTGTGGCTAGAAGGATTAGGCCAATTGAAAAAGATTCAATTACCTCATCGGGACTTGAACCCACGACCTTCTGGCTTGTAGCATAGCCCCTCAAGGTGACGTACATTTTAAAAATTCAGGTATTATATAAGGGAGAGAATTGAAAACTTAACCTTACGATGGGAAGGGCAATTCACCAATATGGACTTTGGTCTCAATTATATTTTATAGATTGTGCTAGGACATATTGGTTTCTAGATAAAATAAAACAGTATTTTGAAGCTCAAGCTCTTATTAACAGGATTGTGTATCTGTGTATATGTACATTGTATGAATAACACATAGATTTCTGAGTAATAAAAAGAACATTTAAATATGTTGCATGAATTTATGATAAACTTAAAAATGTACAACTTGTTCCAGTATCCATTCTGCAGCTATGCATGTGTTGAAAACACTAAAACGACACAAAGCAGCTACACACCATGACAGCGTGAACATCAAAATAGGAAATTTTGTGTAAAGATATTTCAAGATGTTTTTATGAAATAATACATGATAGTGGTCACACAATGCATGGTGTGCAAGCTGGAATACTAGTACTGTACAAACAACAAAAAAGGTCAAAAGCAAAGTTGTATTAATTCCTCTCCCTCTTTCCACATATTTTATGCTTCCTTCCACAAAGACATCACAAATAGGTTCATGATACTTGTTGAATACCTGGTGATAACCACTTTACGCCCAATTTCTCAGCATCTTCTACCATCTCCCATAACAGTAAAAATTAAATTAGCCAAGGGCATGAAGTAAAGACTAGACAGCACCATCTACATACCTTTATACTGAGAGCACTTTTATACACATATTCTGCACTTCAAATTTAATATTATTATATTATATAATTATTCCATAAGATAGATGAGGATAGATCAAACCGTAATACAACATTCTTCTTTCATTTAAATCGAGTATTTTAGATAGCCTGTTAATTATTAACAGTTTACGGCTAATTCTACCGCAGGTTTTTTCAATATGTAATTCCCAGCTCAAGGTACTATCTATTACTACCCTCAGGAAATTTGTGCTTTTTACATTTGATATTTCCCTGTTCTTTATTA